CATGAAGATATTACAGAGTAGTTTGATTTGTATAATGAAAGAAAACATTAATGAAGAAGAAGGTAATGTTGATTCCTTCAATCGATTATACAGATACATAACATATAACCATCTCATATTCTCATAGTTAGATATTATTAGTATAAAGGGATGAGAAACATAAGATTATTATATTTTTGTATATCCTTTACTGGTTTACCCTTAAGGCTTAAGTCACTATTAGTAATTAGTAATTACTTAATTAGACTAACAAGTTAATCAGAAAGAGTAACTTTTAACTTGAGTCTAGTAGATCAAATACTGAAATGGTATTAGTATATTACCGAGTATGATAGTCTAGTACGCTGCTAATCTGTTATGCAGCTATGCTAAATTGACAATTGCTCATATAGTCATATTAGTCAATCACTCATGTAGACATAACTCATATCTAATTAAGTAATTTGTATTTATGTACTAATCTACTAGTCAACTATATCATTTATAAGTTTACACGATTACAAGTGTATTGCTTATAGGTACAGCTAAACTGATATAAATATAACCATATAACAAATCCGTAGTACTTCTAACTCTCTAAGATATGACATCATTATTTATTGAACAATTTTCGATTTTTTATTAATCGCAACGCCTAGAAATTACACGCTAACCGATTCACATTTTATAATTTAAAGAACTTAATATTTTAATGTGTGTGTTAAAAAAAATTATAAAAGCTGATATTATGAAGGTGAATATCGTTTTATCGGGATCCGAGAAATGTAATTAGTTTTTTTTTAAGTCATGTAATTAATTAATTGTATAAAAGTTTGTTTAATGTTATTAAAATAAAATTAAAAATTTTGATTTTTACAAAGTGGAAAATTAATTTCATTTTTTTGGTTGACAATTTCAACAAAATATGGTGGGAAATTTCCCTCCAAAAACCAAAAGGAAAAACACATTTTAGATTTAGAATTTAGATATTTTGATTCTTTAATAATTAAATAAACATGTGGTTCATATATTATGCAAAAGAGAAAAAAAAAAAAAAAAAAAGTGAAACGTGAAACTGTGAAAGACTGAAAGGCAATTAGGTTCTTCATTCATCCTCTTCATTCATCCTCTTCATTCCACAGCATTCACCGTTCTTCTTCTTCATCCTCAAATCGAAGCGTTGAATCCTCACTCACTCTCAAGTTCTCAACTCTCAAGCTCTGAACTCTTAGCCTTCAATAGCTCAAAGGTAAATTTTAGTTAATTGTTTTTGTTTTCGTTTCGTTTTTTTCGATTTTTTTTCGATCTCTCCATTCTCGTTTTTTTTTTTCATTCTCCAGTTCTCCATCTTCAAATCTTCCTCTCCTTCAAGCCGTCACTGCTCAAAGGTAATTTTATGTTAATTTTTTTGTTTTCATTTCGGTTTTATGTTGCTGATTCGTTGTTTGCAGGATTTGCATGTCTTTATTTTTTGATTTTTACTTCTGATTTGTTCATATAATTTCTGATTTTTTGATGTTGTTCATGTAATTTTTAATTTTATTGTTCTTGTTGTTCATTTAATTTCTGATTTTTTAATTTTATTGTTCTTGTTGTTCATTTTTTGTTATATCTATTTGTGAGGTGTTCTGGCCTTACCAGCTTTGGCTATGCTCAGTTCTGATCAGGGTTGTGGTTGTAGTACCATGAGCAACAATTGAGTTGATTTGGTTACCTTATTCATGCTCGTGGTTTCTTTTCGTGTTATTAATTGTGCTTGGTTTTTTTCAGGCTGCTGTGTTGTTGCTGGTCTGCCTTTGTGACTGTTTGCTGTTTGTTGAGCATTTAAAATGTATGGCTTTGTCTATAATGCTCTATTAGTCTTCAAATATACTGAATGCTATCCTTTGTTCTATCAGCTGCATTGTTCTCTCATTAGTGTTTCTGTTTATGTGGGTTAATGCTGAATGCTAGCAGGATTTTTTGATTTAAGTTTGGGTTTTGTTTTGTTGCAAAAGTGCAAGTGCATTCAGATAGGAGTTGTCTAATAGTGTTTAGTATATTTTAGGACTGAATTGTAGATGGACTACCTCAGCTTAGAGCATGTAGTACTAGCTAGGGTCTGTCCTGTGCTGCTGCTGTTCTAATGTCTGGCCAGATCTGCTAGATGTACAAGGCTAGATTGTAGGATCTGCTGGGTGTTTTCTGCCCTGTTCAGAGCAGAGTCTTTCTGGCCATGGTTTGTGCTGTCCTAGTTGATGTCTCTGCTGCAGGCTGGGTGCTGGGGTTGGTTGCTGCTGGTTTTCTAGGGTATTGCAGCTGTGGTTTTGCTGTCGTCTTGTGTTAGCTGGGCTGTGTTGTCTGTCTGTTGCTGGGCTAGGTTGCTGGTGTGCTTTGCTTGAAGCAAGCAGGTCCGGAGCTGCTGTGTTAATTTGCCTATTTTTTTTTATTTGCCCTTAATTTGCCTTTTTTTCACTTGATTTATACTGTTGTGTTTTTGTTTTTTCAGCAATGGAGCAAGAGTTTATTGGTTTTGATGAGGATTCTACTGTAAAGAATCAAGATTCTACTGTTCAGAATCAAGATTCTACTCAACGTACCACTAGTGGTAGTAAGCGTGGACGAACATCAGATGTTTGGAGGTATTACACCTTTTTTGATAAGATGGTTGGTCTTGCTCCGATAAAATATGCTCGATGCAATGTTTGCGGTAATGAATATAAAACTCCAGGTAATGCTGGTACTTCAACTTGTAAAGCTCATACTAAGACATGCATGAATAAAAATCCACACCATCCTGGAAATCATGAAAGTGGTGTTGAGCTCCTGTTTAATCAAACACGTCATTTACAATTGCTTGCTAGAGCTATAATTTTGCATTCCTATCCTTTAAGTATTGTGGAGCATCATGGCCTTAGGGAAGTTTTTACGAATTTGAACCCCAACGTGAATCATGTGTGTAGAAACACTATTTTGAAACATTGTATTGATGAGCATGATAAGTTTAAGTCTTTGTTGTTGCAATCTTTTTCGGGAATTGAAGGTAGAGTTAGCTTCACTTGTGACTTGTGGACAGCATGTACTAATCGAGGTTATCTTACTTTAACGGCACATTATGTTGATAAAAATTGGTGTCTTAGGTCTAAAATTCTGAATTTTAGATATTGTGGTCCTCCTCATACTGGTGTTGAGGTAGAAAAATTTGTGTTAAAACTTATTGGGGAGTGGAACCTTCAGGGTAAAGCTTTTGCAATGACGCTTGATAATGCTCGATCCATGGATGTTATGGTTAACCTTTTGAAGAAAGATTTAGTGTTGACTTCTCCTCTTCCTTGTAATGGTAAATTTTTTCATATTCGATGTTCAGCTCATGTCTTGAACATTATTGTTCAAAGAGGTTTAAAAGAAGTTGATAGTAGTGTTCAAAAATTGCGTGAGGTTTGTAAATATATTGATTCTTCAGATTCTAGACTCACTCAATTTGAGCATGCTCTTCATGAGGTTAACTGTGTGTTTAATGGAAAGTTACGTCTTGATGTTGTGACTTGTTGGAATGCCACATATACGATGATTCGAAAAGCTTTGGAAGCAAAGGAAGCCTTGAAATTGGTTATTGATAGGTTTATAGGTTATGAATTCAAACTTTCGAATGATGAATGGGATACCCTTACTAAAATATGTAATTTCCTAAAGCCATTTCATGAAATCACTGTGTTATTTTCTGGTTCAGAATATCCTACTGCAAATTTGTATTTTGCTAGTGTTTTAAAAATTGAGCACACAATAAGTAAAGCCCATATAGATCCTAAACTTGCACCCATGGCAAAAGTTATGCTTGAAAAGTTTGAGGGCTATTGGGATGAATATAGTTTGATCCTATCAATTGCTATTGTTCTTGATCCTCGTTATAAGCTTGTTCGAGTGATGAAGATGTTAAAAGTGCTTTATGTTGATGAGGCATGTGTTGAAAAGGCGAAGGTGATTAAAGATGCTCTTTTGGAGTTGTATAACTTTTATTCTTCTTTGTCTTCCGGTTTTACATCAAGTACAAATGCTCCACCCTCCATCCCAGCTGTTATCGAAAATTCAAATAGTCACTTGGATGATGATATATTCAAGGTATTCAATTTCTGATTATTGTGGTTTACAAAATTAATAATTTTATGTTTTAATTTTATTATTTAATAAAAGCATTTTGTTTGAACTTTTCTAGTATGTTGATAATGATGATGATGAGGAGGATGACACATCAAATCGGCCATCGATGGAGATTGATTCTTATTTGTGTACTCCTCGACAACCAATTTATGAAGGGCAGAAGTACGATGTTCTTAAGTATTGGGAATCTCAAAGTAGTGTGTACCCCATATTAGCTGTTATGGCTAGGGATGTTTTGGCCATTCCTATTACATCGGTAGCCTCAGAGTCTTCTTTTAGCATGGGTGGTCGTATTTTAAACAAGTATAGGAGTGCGCTTTTGCCTAAGAATGTTGAGGCGTTGGTGACCACACAAAATTGGTTACGTGGTTATGATTGTGATATTGAAGAAGACGTCCTTGAAATTGGTAAAGAAGTGATAGATGAAAGTTTTGCATCTAATTAAGAAGACATGGATGTTGTATTGTAGTGAACTGGTGATGCTTAATATATATTGTGTTGCTTCATTGCTAAAATGTTTTAATCTCATAGAACAAGTATTAATAGTTTTAGTCACATTACATATTGATATGTTGTTCCTTTTTTTATCTCGAGTTATTGGTTATTATTTATGTCCCGCTAAATATTCATCTTGACCTGCAACCGACTCACTTCGTAAATGATCTGCATCGACCCACACTGACCCACCCAATAACCACTCCTAGTAGTAAGTAGTTTGTAAACGGTTCGATTTATAAGGATTCGGTTCATAAACAGTTCGGTTTATAAATGGTTCGGTTTATAAACGGTCCGGTTTATAAACGGTTCGGTTTGTAAACGGTTCGGTTTGTAAACGGTTCGGTTTGTAAACGGTTCGGTTTATAACGGTTTTTATGCCAGTTTAAACGGTTTCGGGTTAGAAACGGTTCGGTTTATTTTCGGTTCGGTTTCCTTTCCAGTTCGGTTTAGATTTGGTTCGGTTCTAAAACGGTTTAACATTACTCGGATCGGTTCGGTTTCGGGTTTACTAAAATGCGGTTCGGGTCGGTTTTCGGTTTCAAAAAATCGGTTTTTAATCGGTTCGGTTCTCATTCGAATCGGTTTGAATCGGTTCGGTTTCACCGGTTCGGTTCGGTTTTTGACAGTGCTAGGAATGTACTATACAAAGAAAACACGGACAAAAAATACATTAGCATGAAATGGGAATGTTCTGGTCCGAGGAGGATTACAAAGGCGAAGGCGAAAAGACAACAAATTAAAAAGGCATCAAAAAATAAAACGCTAGAATACATAGTGGCAGGGACTGGCAGCTTTACATAGTGCCAGCCTTTTGGAGTAGCTCATTGCTGCAAAACCCACTTCTTCCTTTCTCTCCTCTTTTTCCATTAACCCCAAATCACCTGCTATGGAGGTACTAAGCTCATCATCTTCAATATTATTTCATCTCGTTTTTCCTTGCGAGTTTTCTTCAATAAAGCATTTGTCTGTTTTTTTTTTTTTTTAGTTTGGGTATTTTTTTCATTTTAGGTGAAAGTTTGATATATAGGTGTTATAATAAACTCTTAAAAGTGAGATAAAAACGGGAAAAAATATGTCTTTTATAAATTTTACCTTGTTTGTTTGAATATGACTTTGGGAAAACAGAGTTTTTTTTTTTAATTTTTAATTTTTGTGTGTGTGTGGTTGTGCGAGATTTTGAGGTTTGACGTAGAATCTACTACGAAGTATGATTATTGCTTTGTTTCTGAAAATAAATGATTATTACATTTGCACATTAATATCCCATTTTGTTGGTCACATTCTCTACAAAGTGAGTAACTATGTACCCCATCCATTTTTAAACAATGTTTCCATTTACATTTATCATTGCAAATATCTCTATTTATCCATTATTAAAATTAGATATTAGTAGTATAACCTTTTTTTTTTTTTTTTTTTTTTTTTTTTTTCTTATACATAGACAAATTTTAGAAGATTTTTATACCAGTATCATAAGTTTTATTTTTTATTTTTTATTTTTTTTGAAGCAACCAGTATCATAAGATTTCAGATGGATGAAGTAGTAATTTATTTATTTATTTATTTTTAAATACTCACTTTCCATTTTTATTCGATTTTTTTATTTAATGTTACTCTTTCAACTCTGCAATAATGATATATTTTTACAATTTTATCGTAATTTATTTTACACAAACCCACATTTTTCAATATTTTTCTTAAATTGCGCATCCATAATAAATAAGTAGAACATAGAATGGCGACATTGTTAGGCATAAAACACAACATTAATTACTCCGATGCATGATTAGCTAATAGTACCAATTTAGTGAATGTATAATGCTAAAACCTTGAACGTTTTACACATAGATCTTTGTTGTAGGAGTCTTTCACAATTATCAACAAGATATTATATTCTATTTGCATTGATATTTATTAGATCTTAAATAGGACTACAATGAACGGAAGGACTAAGGTTCTAGCCCTTTTGTTAACCAGGAATAAGGCATAATGTATATCCAACATCATCTAACTCCGTTCAACAAAGTAGCTTTGTTTGGATGATGAGAGTTAATGATGTCTACTTTAGTTCTTATTCATGGGTCATGTTTCATTTATTGTGCATGTTTTGTGTTAGAGTGAATGTAATGAGGGGACAGTGAAGTCTCACATAGTAAGTGCTAAAGAATAGGATTTCAAAGATGCAATATATTTGATCACTTAACTAGAGCACCGTTAATCTTAGTGCACCAGCATTAATTTTTCATTCAGCTGCTTAATATGCATCTTATAAGGAATGTATATTACTCAGTCATCTTATGAAGAGCAAGTAGATCTCTGTCCTAACTCTGAAAATACTCTTGCATATCTTAATGTATAAGAAGTACTAGCTAGCACTTGTTAATTCTTTTTTATAAGATGATAGTCTTGATAAGAAATTTTGATTACTATCAGATTTTTGTCGCTGAATATTGCAATGTACATTTCAGGATATGGATCTTTGTTTACTGAACACTGATATCTCATATAATATACTGTCTCGACTGCCTGCTGATATATTGGTCCAGCTGAAGATGGTCTCAAAAGGGTGGCAGCACTTCATTGCAGATCCTGACTTCATGCGCTTGCAGATGAAGATGGCAGAACCAATTTTGATTTCAGGATACTTCTTCCAGGAAAAGTATCTGTACTGTGATATCGATGTTGAAAAGCTCAGTTACATTCCCATTAAAGCCAAGGAAACCAAAATTTATCAGAATATCCTAGAGTTTTTGCCTGAGAAGGTTACTATTTTGGGATCAAGCAATGGTCTAGTCTGCTGTAGGAGTTGTATCCCTTCTCCCGACCCATTGATATACATCTGCAATCCTGTGAGTAAGAAATGGATGACTGTGAAGTGGGATAGAATCAACAGGAAGGACTATATTGCTTTCTCCTTCGAACCATCTTCTACTTCCTCCATGAATGAGAACACAGACTATAATCTAGTTAGGGTGTTTGAAGTTGATGTGCATACTCCTGGGAAGGAAGAATTCTACTTCACTTTTGAAACATACAATTGGGAAAGAAGGGTATGGGTTAAATCTAAGGAAATTTGTCATTGTGAAGATTCTTTGTGCATCACCAAATATGTTTTGGTTAAGGGTATTTTATACTGGCTGACAGATGGTCACATACTTCTTATGTTCGACATTGCAAATGAGCTCTCTTTGCTCATTACTCTCCCTATTCCTTTCACTGAAGGTAAGCTCCCTGAAATTTGTCTTGGAGAATCTGATGGAGAGCTGCATTGTGTAGTGGTATCACCGGAAGGACTTATGATTTGGGCCCTTGAGGACTGTTTCAGCTCCAACTGGGACCTCAGGTCGTTCATATCCTTCGAGGTGATGGAAGAAGAAAATCCACAATATCTATGCAATTTGGCAGAAAGAGTTTCAACATCTGTTGGAGAAAAAGTCCCATGGATGCAACTTTTGGCGTTCAAAGATGGCAAACTGTTCTTAAGGGTCTCCAATTCTGCCTACTCTTTTGACATTCAGACAAGGAGGATTTGTTTTCTGTGTGACATGCTTGATCTTGGTCATGAATTTGTTGGTGCAACAGTGGTTCCGTATTCTGTCACTATGGCATCAGTGGCTGATTCCTAGATGGTTTATCTGCCCCTTCTTATTTTTGGGTACATGCATATTGCAACTACGCAATTGGTGTTACTAGGTTCTACCTGTTAAATAGTTACTAGCCTTTTGTTCCTAAAATACTGCATATGGCTGCCAAAATTCTGTTGAAAAATCGCAGTTTTTCAGAGAAGTCACGTACATTTAGTAGTAAATGTGGTTGATGCAGTAATCTTATTGTTCCAGAACATACTGTATACGGCTGCTGCCAAAAATCTGGTGTAGAATCCGTAGTTTTTGAGAAAAGTCACAGTACATTTGGTCGATTAATGTGGTTAATGTAGTAATCTTTTGCAGCCTTATCTATTTTAATGGAATGCTAGACTTAAGTGAAGTGAAACATCGTTGTCACAATCATGCTCATTTCGACATTCACTTTTATGTTAGCTAACAATGAGTATGCATGTCTTAATGTCTGCATGTAACCCGAATGGACATGTATCTTTAGTTAGTTTGCTAAGGGTTAAGCTGCGCTGTATGCTGATAAGTAAGCATTGTCTCATTAAGATGTTTTAAAGGTGATTATGTGTTGTAAGTGTGAAGTAGTAGTAAACTTCTCTAAATATTGGTGATTGCCGACAATTTGTTCTCCGTACATCTCTAGCAAACGTTCATAAGAATGTCTTCTGTTAGTTTTTTTTACTCAATTTTGCTAGCATTTAAACAAAAAAATGATGCATCAGTTTGTTCTACATCCCTTCTCTTTTTCTTGTGGTTAAAGATAAGAATGACAGACATCGACAGTATGTAGTCTGCAAACAAGGTTTATGGATATGGCACGAGTATATTGCAGAAGGGTGAGTACTCCGACTAGTAAACAAGCCAATTTCATGTAATACGAGTGAGGAGAGGCCTCACATACTGGTAGGATTGTGATCAAATAAAATTCCAAAAGCTAAATGATCATGTTCTATACATATGCTTGTCCTTTGTTTGCCTAGTCTTGCTAATATTTCAAAATTTCATAATGGTTTAGACTTAGGATATATGCATAATGCATTGAACACTGGTACACATTCAGGTGTCAAACTCACCACTTCCTGAAATCTAGAATTTTGCATGTTTCAAATGTCGGTTCTTGTGTTCGAGTACTAAAACACACCAAGAAGAGTTGAAATGAAATCAAGAGTCCAAGAAGATGGAAAAAAAATAAAAATGATAACCAAACAAAGAAATCGATTATGATCATTTTTGCAACCATTACTAATCAAAGTATACACACCAACTCAATATGAATAAGAGAAACTATTTACTTAGAGATATTACTATGCACAAGAACATGCACCTTACTCGTACTGTTAAAAAAGAGAAATCACACATAATCCTAACAGAGAAGGCCATTATTTAAGGTTTAGATGGCTAGATGCTACCTCTTGACTGTAGTCGAAAGTAAAGAAAGAAGAAAAGCTTTATTTTTATTTTAGCAGGGATTTAACAATACTTTTCTAACATCTTAGAGAGAAAACCTTTCTCTATCATGGGGTGCAGAGTAGTCAATATTGGGGCCTTGAGGAATGATCCCATAAGGATTAATGGAAGTATGACTTTGATAATAGTGCTTCTTAATGTGATCCATGTACACTGTGTTGCTCATGCCAGGAATTTGGAAGATCTCTTTTGTGTAATTGAACAAGTTTGGGTACTCGCGCAGCAATTTCTTGTTGCATTTGAAGTGAACAGCATACACCTGTGAACAAAGTAAATTTAATTCTAAGTGAAGAGCAACTCCAGACAGAAATGAATGAATGAAAAACATTTTAAAGAACAACATTGAAAATTACATCAAATTTACATTTGTTAATGAGAAAAAAATGGCTTGGTCACCTTTATCATTTTGATGTATGGTAGCTTTGGAGTATGGAGTACATAAAATTCATGCCTCTAAATAGTACACAATTTTGAAAATTAACTAATGACGATAATCAATGACTTAAACATGGAAGGCAGTAGGACTAGCATTGATGAATCATCTGCTACGCATGGTCAGTTTACCTCATCAAATCTTATTAAGGTTACGAATAAACGTATATCTGCTTCAGTCAGTGAGCTGCCACATAAATATCGCTGTTTAGCAAGTATCTCTTCGCATTTGTCCAGCGCTTTATACAATTTGTCAACAGCCTAGGAAATGGATCAAAATCATCAGAATTCAGAACATATATTGGAAGCCAACAAAACAAAGATGGATCATAGGTGACATTAAAATAAGGAACGGTGTTTACCTGATCATATGGTTCTTGCTTTGTGGAAAATCCACATCTGTAGACACCATTGTTGATTCTATCATATATCCATTCGTTAACCTCATCAACTCGAGCTCGCAGATGCTGGGGATAAAGGTCCAAATCCCCATTCTCTGCTATATCATTGAACTCGGAGTTTAACATGCGAATAATTTCTGCGCTTTCATTGCTTACAATTGTCTCAAGTTTCTTGTCCCAAAGGACCTGTGGAAACCAATTCGTGAATCAATTGACAATTTGACACGGTAAGAAACCTATTATAAAGATGTCATAGAATGAAAAATGAATGATACATACAGGCACTGTATATTTGCCAGAGTAATTAGCACTTGCAAGGTCATAAAGGTCTCTGATAGTCTTTAAACCATTCAAAGGGTCTGGCTCAGCACCTGGTTCTTCTGTATCAGAGGCAGGGAAAACCCATCCCATATGTGCATCACCTTCCTTTGTTCTTTCCCATTTGGGTTTGACTGACTGCAAGTGCAAGGAAACGTCATACTAAGCTAGGGTACTTGCACTAACAAGCAATTGTTTTAGCAAATATAGACATCCATGTTACCGTGAAACTTATTGCTTTATCAAGCCTTTTTATCTTCACGAAAGAAAGGCACCTGGATGCCCAAGGACAAGCATAAGATATGTATAGATGATATCTTCCAGACTCAGGCAGAAAGGTCGACCCTTGATCTCTTGAAATAAAATTACGAAATATTGAAGGAGACCTAACAAAAGCACCAGATTTTTCTATCTCATCAACTGCAGTTCGGGCCATAGTACACTGATGATTTATAAAAACTAGTTAGCAGCGTTTCTGACATTTGAAAGAATACAGTTCACTTTGGACCTAAGTATGTGGAAAGAGAGAGTAGATGTGGAGAGACAAAAAGAAATAGTTCATTGTTTTAAAGGGTCAGTTCATTGTTTGGTATTCTGTAATATATAATTGATGCACACTACTCTACTGCACACATAATATGAATAGCAAGTACAAATTAAACTATTCAAAAGATCAGGACTTGAGGCATGCACAGAGCAAGGCAACACGATCATTCTACAATCATAGCATGGTACTGGTACAAGGTTCCTTTCACTTTTCCCTACTACTAATGTATTTGCCCCTTTTTCTTACCTACTTTCATCAGGAGGCAGCTCGGATTCTAAGCAATGTACACCCCCACCCCCCCCCCCCCAAAAGAAAGGTGTACAATTGAGCTTCTATTTAGACCTGAATATCAAACAAATTACTGTAGAAGAATGTAGGTGAAATTTTCATTCACTCTGTGCTATTGAGTAGCAGCATGTATCATTAAACTAAAGAGGATCATCTACGAGTTTGCCATGAACTGGTTATATGTTTGACTCTCTAACTAGACAGTATGGCATTATGCAAATGATTGTTTATTAAGTCTGTCTTTTCTCTATGTCAGGTGTAGTGTACAGTCCAGCTTTAATTAGGATATGCTAGGAACCCTTACAATAGACCAGGTATTCAACAAATATTTTTTTTCTCTAAGTCAGGTGTAGTACGTGTACAGTCCAGCTTTAATTATGTGCATAACCCACATAAGCACAATTAGACCAGGTATTCAACAATTTTTTTTTTTTCAGAAAATGAGGGGAAATTTTAACGCTCCTGAAGCAATTAAAACATTAATTGGAAACTTGCAGCATGTTTTGCTGTAAGTGTTTACAAGTTTAAGCACTTTAATCAATTCCTAGCAGCCTGGACCAGGACGTAAGTAGAAAAAATACAAAATTTAAAGCTGATCGCTTTTACTTCATTCTAATCTCTTCATGATGATTGCTTTAAGCAATGTGATCCTTGGTATAATGGATAAGTGACGTAGAGACACAGTCAATTAATTACTATACCCAGTTTGACCTATAGCTGATGAAGTAGATGAAAACCTCGAATCTTCTATCACCTCAGCACAGTTAGATCAATCTCGTAACTTTCAACTCTAGTATATACCTTAAGTCTATTATAAATTTATAATTTATATATAGCAAATTTGCAACCAATTACTTCCATTCATATAAATCATATTGGCTAAGGTCTCCATGATTAATGAGGTTTGGATATCAAGTACACAATAAGGAGGATATCACGTACTCTACAACTATGGGTAGAGGTACTTCCTCCAAAAACGATGCCTAAATAGAATACCACAGCAATTTGTCCTTCATGTCAATGACTTTTCAATTTCATATGAAGGATGAAGTGGTTATAATTTTCACTTTAGGACATAAAATATTTTTAGGTTAGAAAATTTTGAACCAGCTAAAATGGTTTCATAGCATTTCTAAGGCGCTCTGCAGCTTGTCGTACAGATGATTGAACGCGATAGGGCTAATGCAAATATAGACTCAGTGCCTATACACGCCACTGATTTGGTAAAGGGATTCATACCAGAGATGGTCTCAACAACCTGGGTGTAACCAGTGGAAGAGAGAGTCTTACAACGGAGCTCATTTTCTCAAGTTGCCTCTAGGTGTTCAGTTTACGCCAAATGTCTACAGCTAGGCTAGGATTAATAACACCCCCTTGTCTGAGAAATATGGCAAAAAATTGTAGCAACTAATTAGAAAAAAGGCGGAAGGACAGCAACTTTGGTGATGCTGTCTTGACTCTTAAACATTGACATCAGCCAAAGCTATGCAGCTAATTAAAAACCCGACTTAAAATTCAGAATTCGTTGTTACACAAGTCTTGTACGAAAGCGTTGGGGTTAACATTCTCATAGAAGTCTCAATTCTAATAGAAATTGGGTTCAACATTGGGGTTAACATTCTCATAGAAGTCTCAATTCTCATAGAAATTGGGTTTAACAATGGGGTTAACGTTGGGGTTAATATTCTCATACGAAAGCATTGGGGTTAACGTTTTCACAGAAGTCCCTATTCTCATAGAATTGGGGTTAACATTCTCATACGAAAGCATTGGGGTTAACACTCTCATAGAATTGCGACCCTTCTGATTTATATACGATACAAATAAAGAAATTGCAGCTCAGAATCTAAAATTCTAATGCAACAAAATCGGCCACAAAAATCCTCCATCGATCAAGAATTTCGATATCTTGACAGAAATTTACATACACCATAATTCTGTTTACTTTTTCACAGTAGTAAAAGTTAAGTGATTCAGACATAACAATAACAAGT